CTTTCTATTGTGTCATGCATGTGTTGACTTTCTAGTGTGTCATGCATGTGTCGACTTTCTAGTGTGTCATGCATGTGTCGACTTTCTACTGTGTCATGCATGTGTCGACTTTCTATTGTCTCATGCATGTGTCGACTTTCTATTGTGTCATGCATGTGTCGACTTTCTATTGTGTCATGCATGTGTTGACTTTCTAGTGTGTCATGCATGTGTCGACTTTCTAGTGTGTCATGCATGTGTCGACTTTCTATTGTGTCATGCATGTGTCGACTTTCTATTGTGTCATGCATGTGTCGACTTTCTACAGTGTCATGCATGTCTATTTTCTACAGTGTTGCTGTATGTAATCCATTATTAATTACTTGCTTATAGTAGACGATTTGACGAGTAGAACAAAATAATATTCCATATTAAGTTTATATCGTCAGGTTATAGAACACTGTTTAACGCCAAATTCCCTTTGGCGTTACAATGATAAACCACAATGAGCTTGAAAATGATAGTTACTGATCGATATTTGAATAATTTTGTAGACTGCACAAATTGGCAATAATGCTACAGTTACTAACGTCATTTGTCATTGTGATAGTCTGGACCAAGAGAAGAGCAACCCACCCCTTTGATCATGCATTCTATACTGACATTAGAGGGATCAAATTACAATAGCTACCAGATATGCAAAGCCACATTATGAGGTGTGAGCGACATACATTCATACGACATCACGCATTCTATACTGACAATAGAGTGGTCAAATTACAATAGCTACCAGATATGCAAAGACACATTATGAGGTGTGAGCGACATACATTCATACGACATCACGCATTCTATACTAACATTAGAGTGAACAAATTACAATAGCTACCAGATATGCAAAGACACATTATGAGGTGTGAGCGACATACATTCATACGACATGTTATTAATAGTGCACGTTTATTATCAAAACGCTCGAACCTTAGGGTTATTCAAACACGAATATTTGTATGTAGGAAGCCTATTAGTGACACAGTGTCATCTACGTAGATGAAAGTAGTATCTTCGTAGATGTAAGTCTCATCTACGTAGAGGAAAGTAGTATCCTTGTAGATGATACAAAAATGACTGTGGCACTAATACGCTTCCATAGAAAAGCCGAAACTGCAGTGACAGATTAGAGTGCTTAGAATGTGTGATGCGTGACTCGTCTGTTTCGCGAACGCCCGGTGTCAATGTTGTAGCATCACAATGGTTATTATGTGCAGGTATTTGAATCTGTATTGCGGAGTGAGCCTTGTGGTCAAAGCATGCGTTGGTGTCCCCCGTCATGATATTGCCAGGAAATGTCAAATGCGGCGTAAAATGCTACTCACCTTCTCATAATGTGGAGTACTGGTGATTAGCTGGGTTAAAACACACTTTTACACCCCTCATGCAATATAACATCCCCATGGGCTTCAGCCTTCTCATAATGTGGAGTACTGGTGATCAGCTGGGTTAAAACACACTTTTACACCCCTCATGCAATATAACATTCCCATGGGCTTCAGACATCTCAGCAAACAAAACAACACATGGGTACAACGTTGTCACATCGTTTCTTGTTTGTTGTGATGATGAATGTTAGAAAATAACATAGCCACAACATTAAATATGTGTTTTGTTATGTTGCTGCAAGGTTATGGTGGACGACGTGTAACGTTACCAAAACACATCCCTGCAACATTCCCTCAACATTGCATTATCATATTCATGATGCTATATGTTCATACTATTATTCATAATTGACATGACCCGTGAAGATTCGGAGTAGAATAGGTCTTTAGCAACCCATGCTTGCTGTAATAGGCGACTATGCTTGTCGTAAAAGGCGACTAACGGGATCGGGTGATCAGGCTCGCTGACTTGGTTGATGCATGTCATGGTATCCCAATGGTGTGGATTGATGCTCATGGTGTCAATCACTGGATTGTCTAGTCCAGACTCAATTATTTACAGACCACCGTCATATAGCTGGAATATTGCTGAGTGCAGCTTTAAACAACAAACAAACAAAATCATAATTGACATACCAGTCAAATATTCTCATCTCTTCTTGACAAGAATCATAGTTATGAGATCGTGCAAATGTTTCTATTTAAATGCTGTTGACTTAGGGACTTCTTGTTCTCTGTTCAATGTTTATGACACATCAGTTAGGATTCAGCGATGTTGATTTTCTTTGCCGAGTTTGTCATTAGTGAATCAAGGGCGGGCAACTCTATATCACTATTTTGTGGTGTGATACTTTTGGATGATGAGGGTTACATCACTTCCTGTTTTAAATTATGCATAATCAGTATGTATACCACCTATTGTGGGTCAAGGGACATCGTCCGAACAAGTGGATTCTTTTATAACCAATTTCGAATGTAGGTAGGGTAATTACACTTCAAAAACATTCCAGAAACTATCATAAAAATGTAAACGTGTATACTAACGAGTAGCCGTGACATAGCGCGACGAGTCATATATTCGATCATGCGATGAAATATCGTGCTGAGATTTGCATAATTTAACAGTCAACAGAGGGTGTGGATTACGAGATTTACCGAAACCGCGATAATATAGAGAAGCGATACTATAAGGTCATACTAAACATCGTAATATTACCTTATCTTTTCGATCCAAAACTTCGTAACATTGTGTTTTCTGAGATTGTACCAATTTTGCCAATCAAACCTGAGCTGTCGACGTTACGAGCAGATGCTTTAACCACTTGACAACCCAACGTCCATTTCCCCGTTTTGAATATTAACCAAAATAAGCACTGCTCCTGTAGCACTAACAACAATGTATGACATACACGTATGTGTATCCAAACACCTGTAGCACTAACAACAATGTATGACATATATGTATGTGTATCCAAACACCTGTAGCACTAACAACAATGTATGACATACACGTATGTGTATCCAAACACCTGTAGCACTAACAACAATGTATGACATACACGTATGTGTATCCAAACACCTGTAGCACTAACAACAATGTATGACATATATGTATGTGTATCCAAACACCTGTAGCACTAACAACAATGTATGACATACACGTATGTGTATCCAAACACCTGTAGCACTAACAACAATGTATGACATACATGTATGTGTATCCAAACACCTGTAGCACTAACAACAATGTATGACATACACGTATGTGTATCCAAACACCTGTAGCACTAACAACAATGTATGACATACATGTATGTGTATCCAAACACCTGTAGCACTAACAACAATGTATGACATACACGTATGTGTATCCAAACACCTGTAGCACTAACAACAATGTATGACATACACGTATGTGTAACCAAACACCTGTAGCACTAACAACAATGTATGACATACATGTATGTGTATCCAAACACCTGTAGCACTAACAACAAAGTGTGACATACACGTATGTCTATCCAAACACCATATCATAGCATCTCAAGACGTTCTACATTTAAGATTCACAGAAAGAAATTTGGCTTCCTCTGTTTCCGTTTTCTATGATGTGGATGCTGAATGTAAGTTGTCGGTTCCAAGAACAGTTCCTTTGATACTTTGAAACAGCACGCGAGTCATCGATGAAAACATTCTCTTTTGATGCATAGTGTTTGTGTGTTTTAGATTTTTTCCTGAACAGTAGTGTAGCTTTTAAGTGCTTTGTTTAAAGCGGGTCCTAAGTTCTTTTCTGTGTCTACATTAATTAAAAAATATTTTCATTTTTTTAACTCTTTTTGACAATTCAACTGGTTATTTCATCTTTAGGCACCTACATTGTGTCAATATTGATTTTATTACATGTCAATACATGTCTTTATCCATGTGTTCTTGTCAACACAACCTGTGAGGAATGGGGAATAGAACAAGTTCTCAGAAAGCCTTGCTTGTCCTCCAGTACTACAAAATGGATTGGAGGTCAGGCTCGGTGATTTGGTTGATTGGAGGTCAGGCTCGGTGATATGGTTGATTGGAGGTCAGACTCGGTGATTTGGTTGATTGCTTGTCATTGTACCCCGACATAGTTGGATGTTGCTCACAACATCAACCACTGGTTTGTCTCGTCCAAACACGCACATTTACAGGACGTCTTTCTATGGTTGGAATATTCCCGACTGTAGGTGTGGCGTTATACAACACTCATTAACATATGTGAATTATATCGATTCTCAACTGCCTTGGTCCGCTTAAGCAATATCACTTTATACTCCTCCATTGTAAATTATTAATTAAAGGCGACAAAACCCTTTCCATATTCATAAGAAACATCTGCCAAAAGCAGAGTCGATTGTGCCGACAATATCATAAGGGTGTGTTTATGAATCACTATCAAACAGTGATGAAACCAGGTGTTCCTAACTCACTGGTGGCCCCCGTTACAAACACATGCAAGAGCAAGTCAATAGTTCCCCTGAATAAACACTATTATGAAAAAGTAATACAAAACGTCAGTCAACAATTTCCCTAAAGAGTTTTGAATGATCAACTTGTTAGGACAAGACTGTATCACCAATTTAGCGATTACCAAGGTTACATACATTCTAAACAATATAACCTGTGAAGGTCCGGGGCAGAATAGGTCTTCAGCAACCCATGCTTGCCGTAAAAAGCGACTATGTTTGTCCTAAGAGGTGACAAACGGGATCGGTTGGTCAGGCTCGCTGACTTCGTTGATGCATGTCATTGTATCAAAATTGTGTGGATCAATGCCCATGATGTCAATCACTGGATTGTCTGGCCCAGATTCGATTATTTACAGACCCCCTTCATATAGCTGGCATATTGCTAAGAGCGGAATCAAACAACAAACAAACAAAACATATGTTTGTTTATGTTTATATTTTTACTCGGGGCTTCAGAACCATTCATATCTTGCTTTTTAGTGTGTCAAGATGATTATTTAATGTAAAGTTGATTACAGTAGAGCTAGTGACCTACACTTCATGTGTAATTATTAAACAATGTTGATTTTGTCTGTTTCAGGACCATACTCTCTACCTGAAGACGTTTGACAAATGTCTAACAGTTGGGGAGAGCTCGTCTCTCCAAATGGCGACGTGCGATGGAAATTTGAATCAAAGATGGATGTTCGAGAAATCAAAATTTGAAAACCAACAGATAAACCGTCATTCATGAACACATTCATCATTCAGAACAGACGCCGAAATTCGCTGTGCAGAGTTGCGTCCCTTCGGCACGCCAGAAACCTATGATTGTGGGTTCGAATCCCGGTTCGCCTTGATTATGTCTTAGGTTTGTCAGCACCATACCCGTGCTCGTGGGTTTCACCGAAGTGGTAAACGTCCGAGACCTGCATCACTTCGGGCTTTCCTCCCACATTAAGCTGACACGCCGTGATATAACTGGAACACTGTTAAAAGCGGCCTTAAACCCGACTCACTCACTCACTCACTCATTCAAAACAGCTGATCTGCAATGCCCCATAGCACATAACTCATTTCATAGTCTTCCAACATTGATGTGTATCAGCCACATTAAGCTGACACGCCGTGAAATAACTGGAACACTGTTAAAAGCGGCCTTAAACCCGACTCACTCACTCACTCATTCAAAACAGCTGATGTGCAATGCCCCATAGCACATAACTCATTTCATAGTCTTCCAACATTGATGTGTATCAGTCCTGAAAATGTAACACCAAAGTATATTATATATTATAATTCTAAGTAACTACTTCCTTGGGACTAATAAAGAATTAGATTGCTACCGAATGATCTTAAATGATCTTGTGATATCGGTTTCACACACTTGGCGCCAACAGGCTTTTGTCCTTACTCCCCAAACTGTGGCGAATCAACCATATCTACTACTACATCTTGCTCAGAACAACAAGGTCCATCGTATAAATCACCAGAATTTTCAAATTGGAATGATCAAGGCTGTACTGCTTTAGTTTAACATAGCATGTGTCAAGGTGCAGTCTTTCTAATGTCACGCATGTTGAAAATAATTATGTTTGTAAGATACCATTATTCCAGAGCATAGTTATATACCCTACAATACTGTCTGACAAGAGTGATGACTTTCCAATAGGCAACTAAACCTTTATGTCCAGCAATAGTGCAGGGTGTACATTTCACTACTTTTGAGGTACTATCAAGTATACTCTTTCTACGAAATAAAGAGAGTCATACGACTAAAGTTCAAAAGGCTTTTGATCAAGGTTACAACATTCAGAACCACAGTAAAGCTTTCATAAAGTTTTGTGGTCGACATGAGGTGGACGTTTTCAAATTAGACGCATCAGGGACAAAAACACAATGTCGGATGCAATTCCCTATTTTGACTTGTACCATGTTCCTGTGTTTATTGCCACAGCCATCTTGTAAATCAATGACAAACGTAGTGTAACGTAAACGCTGTCACGGAGCTGTGCTCCAATGAACAGAGAATAAAGTAATACTAGTGGTAAAAGGTTCAGATGTTTATTAATAAAGGCTAGTTGTACTAATAAATGACAATAAAGAATCAGATAAACACAATGAGTGCTAACAGTTATCACTATTATACAACCAGATAGCTAAACAACTGTATTACAGCAATACAAGGAGTAACTAAAACAACACGAGATACCCACCAGATACCCACCAGATACCCACCAGATGGGTAGATGGGTAGATGCGTAGACACACAATTAAGTTCGCTGCGACCAATTAACACCTGGGTCAGTTAACTGAACACTCTAATGAGTGAATAACCTCGGCTGGGTGAATTAACGGGAAATCTGCACATCCCTAAGATGCCTATCCCTGAAATAAGTCACTTAGATTACAAAATAGATTATTACGTCTGAATATCAACTAGTCTTAATCGACTGAAAATTCAGACAATTTGACTGAACAAGGTGAGTGAGTGAGTTTGGTTTAACACCGCTTTTAACAGTATTCCAGTTATATCAGTCGTGTCAGCTTGATGTGTGAGGAAATCCCAAATTGATGCAGGTCTCAGACATTTACCACTTCGGTGAAACCAACGAGCACGAGTATGGTGCTGACAAACCTAGAAACAATCGGGACGAACCGGGATTCGAACTCACAATCATAGGTTTCTGGCATGCCCAAGGGACGCAACTCTGCGCATCGAATTGCGGCGCCTTAGATGACTGGGCCACCGCCGGGGAATACAACAGACAGGGGCGCCAAGCCAACGTGTGTTTCTACACAGGGGGATAACACTAACAGCAAACTAACTACTATAGCCATACTGGAGTTGTAACATTCAAAATATAGCGCTGAACATGAGCTATCCAACTGTACCATTAAAGATATACAATAAGCTATTTACAATTATTGATGAGGCAAAAATGACCATGAATACATGAGAAATATCTGAGTGTAATTTGTGAAAATCAGTTACAAAAACATTTTCAATACAAGAATACGGTAAGGAAGAGAATATATGGAAGTCAACTTCTTTATTATGAGGAACACAATGTTTTCTAGTATATACTTACTTCTTTATCAGGTGAATGATGAAGGAGTAAGCATATACTCCGAAACCTTGTGTTCCTCATAATAAAGAAGTTGACATCCATATATTCTCTTCCTTATCTGTATCGTTTCTTAATGCCTTTCAAAGACAAGAATACGGTGGCGAAAATATAACAGATAAACTACATCCAGTCAAAACATGGTTTGAGAGTGCCATTAGATTACAAGAGAATGAAATATTCGGGCCACTAAATCTCTGACACAAAATGTACTAACACTGTAGGATAGCGACCGCCGGACATTGCCGAGCAGCGCCGGAAATAAAGCCAGGAACCGAGCACTCACAAGACCGTAACATGAGGCAATCAACGCCCCGGTGACAGGCGCCGAGTGGTTAAAACGTTCTATAGTCACAGCCGAAGGGGTTTTGGTTACAAAGTATAAAGTACATTCTTGGTATCCACTGTAGAATTGCTCACTCACGCACGTATACAAATATATTATTCCAGAAAGTATTTTAGTTAATGCATATATTGATTACTGCTTTCCAACGGTACCACCTCGTAACAATGACTATGAAGATGGCCACTTTTCTAGTTATTATGAATATCCACCGATACAAAACCTCGAAGAATAATGAGTCACACTAGCAATACCATATCCTTTAAAAAATCCATAAGTTTTGAAAAGAAAGTTCATTGTTTTGCAATTCTATGTTTTTTTAACAATTACGGTTATCATTAAGCTTTTATATTAAATTATCGTTTTAACAAATATTTGAGTAAGCTGGCACGTTATTTATCTTTCACAAGTTGAAACATGAAATAACACAAAGAAAAAGCTCAGTTCACAATATACAAAAGTATCTGATCTTGTTGGATGATGCGCACGTAACGTTTGTGGACAGTGCAACTTGATCAGGCTTTATGCCCGGCAAGCAAAACTCGGTTAAAGAATAATCATTAGCAACATTGTCGGCGATCACAGAAAACACGAATAATTACGTTTGACGTTTCTGATAATACAATACGTGTGTACATCTAATTAGGTGAAACAACATGACGCCATAGCGACATCATAGTTTCCTTATCTGGACCAATGTTAGAAGTGTTTCATTTGAAGTGTTATCAAGTCAAACCGCCGGTACCTCAGGGGTATTCAAGCTCGTGTGTGTGTCACTTGAAAAGAATCAGAGTTTAGGCAAAATCGTAAGCGACGCATTCAAATGCTTACAAGCATTAATGATTTACACATGCAAAACAAAATTTACAAAACTTTGCACATGCAACACCCGGTGTCATCATGTAAATATAAGTATAGTCAATGCGTGACTCATCCGTTTAGCGAACACTTAGCCCCTTGGATCCATCCGGTTCGCGAACACCTTGTGTCATCATTTAAATATTAGTATAGTCAATGCGTGACTCCTCCGTTTAGCGAACACTTGGCCCCCTGGATCCATCCGGTTCGCGAACACCTTGTGTCATAATTTAGATATTAGTATAGTCAATGCGTGACTCCTCCGTTTAGCGAACACTTGGCCCCCTGGATCCATCCGGTTCGCGAACACCTTGTGTCATAATTTAGATATTAGTATAGTTAATGCGTGACTCATCCGTTTAGCGAACACTTGGCCCCCTGGATCCATCCGGTTCGCGAACACCTTGTGTCATTACTTGATTTACGATGACTAGTGCGTGGTTCATTCAGTTTGCGAACACCTTGTGTCAATACTTGATTTACAATCACCAGTGCGTGGTTCATTCAGTTAGCGAACACCTTGTGTCATTACTTGATTTACGATGACTAGTGCGTGGTTCATTCAGTTTGCGAACACCTTGTGTCATTACTCAATTTACGATGACTAATCCCATTTCGCGAACACATGCCATCGCTTATTATTACTGTAATTATAGCTTGATTCCTGCCGTTTATTGACACCTGGTGTCATCATGTCATATGACAAAGCATGTACGTATTAGCGTCATTACTTAATTTACGATGACTAATCCCATTTCGCGAACACATGTGCCATCGCTTATTATTACTGTAATTATAGCTTGATTCATGCCGTGTATTGACACCTGGTGTTATCATGTCATATGACAAAGCATGTACGTATTTGCGTCTACTGAACTGGACCACAACGCGATCAGTCTTAAGAAAACATCTAACCAGCAGAATCAAAGAACATGACTGCCTTCAAGTAATCTGTCCAGGCTCTTCTGGCAACTGTAGGCTTGAGCCATCGTTAGTTAAGCCGTATGCATGTCAGACATAATTTACCTTCAGTTTCAGAGGCTTTGACGAGATATCCAAGCCTGCTGACCTATACGTCGGACAGGTAATCTGGTAACGTTGAACGTATAATCAGTGCATGTAGAAGTACATTTAAAGACAGACTACTTCTCCTGACACTCACTGCAACGAGTGGGGGAACCAAACAATGTCGTCAGTAACCACGAGCTATTTATATCCTAAAACCTGAGGTTTATTCCAGCATTTGCCAAGAGACCTATCCCGTCCTTGAGAAAGCTTATGCAAATTGTGGGTGCCGGGTGCTACTGGTAGGGCAGGACATGCGTATATCGCGAACACCTTGTGTCATCACTGATCTTCGTTTTTTTGCATTTTGACCAATGGAATCTTTCCGGTCCACCCCTTTCAAAACCAAATGTAGTATGTTGTAGGCAGTGATATTATCTGAGAGAGGATTTTGATATTCTAGACCCCTCCCTATTAAAAATGCTGTATCCTCCCTTGCTCATAACGTGTACATTTTGGGTTCTAGGGTCATGGCTTAATTCCAACATACAA